AGTGTTCTGGTACAGTGTTCTGGCTGTTACAGTGTTCTGTTACAGTGTTCTGTTCCAGTGTTCTGGCTGTTCCAGTGTTCTGTTACAGCGTTCTGGCTGTTCCAGTGTTCTGTCACAGTGTTCTGTTCCAGTGTTCTGGCTGTTCCAGTGTTCTGTTACAGTGTTCTGTTACAGTGTTCTGTTTCAGTGTTCTGGCTGTTACAGTGTTCTGTTACAGTGTTCTGTTCCAGTGTTCTGGCTGTTCCAGTGTTCTGTTACAGTGTTCTGTTCCAGTGTTCTGGCTGTTCCAGTGTTCTGTTACAGTGTTCTGTTCCAGTGTTCTGGCTGTTCCAGTGTTCTGTTACAGTGTTCTGGCTGTTACAGTGTTCCGTTACAGTGTTCTGTTCCAGTGTTCAGGCTCTTACAGTGTTCTGTTACAGTGTTCTGTTCCAGTGTTCTGGCTGTTCCAGTATTCTGTTACAGTGTTCTCGCTGTTACAGTGTTCTGTTACAGAGTTCTGTTCCAGTGTTCTGGCTGTTACAGTGTTCTGTTACAGTGTTCTGTTCCATTGTTCTGGCTGTTCCAGTGTTCTGTTACAGTGTTCTGGCTGTTACAGTGTTCTGTTACAGTGTTCTGGCTGTTCCAGTATTCTGTTACAGTGTTCTGGCTGTTACAGTGTTCTGTTACAGTGTTCTGTTACAGTGTTCTGTTCCAGTGTTCTGGCTGTTACAGTGCTCTGTTACAGTGCTCTGTTACAGTGTTCAGTTGCAGTGTTCTGTTCCAGTGTTCTGGCTGTTCCAGTGTTCTGTTACAGTGTTCTGGCTGCTACAGTGTTCAGTTAGAGTGTTCTGTTCCAGTGTTCTGGCTCTTACAGTGTTCTGTTACAGTGTTCTGTTCCAGCGTTCTGGCTGTTCCAGTGTTCTGGTACAGTGTTCTGGCTGTTACAGTGTTCTGTTACAGTGTTCTGTTCCAGTGTTCTGGCTGTTCCAGTGTTCTGTTACAGCGTTCTGGCTGTTCCAGTGTTCTGTCACAGTGTTCTGTTCCAGTGTTCTGGCTGTTCCAGTGTTCTGTTACAGTGTTCTGTTTCAGTGTTCTGGCTGTTACAGTGTTCTGTTACAGTGTTCTGTTCCAGTGTTCTGGCTGTTCCAGTGTTCTGTTACAGTGTTCTGTTCCAGTGTTCTGGCTGTTCCAGTGTTCTGTTACAGTGTTCTGTTCCAGTGTTCTGGCTGTTCCAGTGTTCTGTTACAGTGTTCTGGCTGTTACAGTGTTCCGTTACAGTGTTCTGTTCCAGTGTTCAGGCTCTTACAGTGTTCTGTTACAGTGTTCTGTTCCAGTGTTCTGGCTGTTCCAGTATTCTGTTACAGTGTTCTCGCTGTTACAGTGTTCTGTTACAGAGTTCTGTTCCAGTGTTCTGGCTGTTACAGTGTTCTGTTACAGTGTTCTGTTCCATTGTTCTGGCTGTTCCAGTGTTCTGTTACAGTGTTCTGGCTGTTACAGTGTTCTGTTACAGTGTTCTGGCTGTTCCAGTATTCTGTTACAGTGTTCTGGCTGTTACAGTGTTCTGTTACAGTGTTCTGTTACAGTGTTCTGTTCCAGTGTTCTGGCTGTTACAGTGCTCTGTTACAGTGCTCTGTTACAGTGTTCAGTTGCAGTGTTCTGTTCCAGTGTTCTGGCTGTTCCAGTGTTCTGTTACAGTGTTCTGTTACAGTGTTCTGTTACAGTGTTCTGGCTGTTCCAGTGTTTTGTTACAGTGTCTGGCTGTTACAGTGTTCTGTTGCAGTGTTCTGGCTGTTACAGTGTTCTGTTACAGTGTTCTGTTCCAGTGTTCTGGCTGTTACAGTGTTTTGTTACAGTGTTCTGTTACAGTGTTCTGTTCCAATGATCTGACTGTTCCAGTGTTCTGTTACAGTGTTCTTTTACAGTGTTCTGGTTGCTACAGTGTTCTGTTACAGTGTTCTGGCTGTTCCAGTGTTCTGTTACAGTGTTCTGGTTCTTCCAGTGTTCTGTTACAGTGTTCTGTTCCAGTGTTCTGGCTGTTCCAGTGTTCTGTTACAGTGTTCTGGCTGTTACAGTGTTCTAGCTGTTACAGTGCTCCCTTACAGTGTTCTGTTACAGTGTTCTGCCTCTTACAGTGTTCTGTCTATTACAGTGCTTTGTTACAGTGTTCTGGCTGTTACAGTGTTCTGTTACAGTGTTCTGTTACAGTGTTCTGGCTGTTCCAGTGTTCTGTTACAATGTTCTGGTTGTTCCAGTGTTCTGTTACAGTGTTCTGTTACAGTGTTCTGGCTGTTCCAGTGTTCTGTTACAGTGTTCTGGTTCTTACAGTGTTCTGTCTATTACAGTGCTCTGTTACAATGTTCTGGCTACTACAGTGTTCTGGCTGTTACAGTGTTCTGTTACAGTGTTCTGGCTGTTCCAGTGTTCTGTTACAATGTTCTGGCTGTTCCAGTGTTCTGTTACAGTGTTCTGACTGGTACAGTGTTCTGACTGGTACAGTGTTCTGGCTCTTACAGTGTTCTGGATGTTACAGTGTTCTCGCTGTTACAGTGTTCTGTTAAAGTGTTCTGGCTGTTACAGTGTTCTGTTACAGTGTTCTGGCTGTTACAGTGTTCTGGCTGTTACAGTGTTCTGGCTGTTACAGTGTTCTGGCTGTTACAGTGTTCTGGCTGTTACAGATGTTCTGACTGTTACAGTGTTCTGGCTGTTACAGTGTTCTGGCTGTTACAGTGTTCTGGCTGTTACAGTGTTCTGGCTGTTACAGTGTTCTGGCTGTTACAGTGTTCTGACTGTTACAGTGTTCTGGCTGTTACAGTGTTCTGGCTGTTACAGTGTTCTGGCTGTTACAGTGTTCTGGCTGTTACAGTGTTCTGGCTGTTACAGTGTTCTGGCTGTTACAGTGATCTGGCTGTTACAGTGTTCTGACTGTTACAGTGTTCTGGCTGTTACAGTGTTCTGGCTGTTACAGTGTTCTGGCTGTTACAGTGTTCTGGCTGTTACAGTGTTCTGGCTGTTACAGTGTTCTGGCTGTTACAGTGTTCTGGCTGTTAGAGTGTTCTGGCTGTTACAGTGTTCTGGCTGTTACAGTGTTCTGGCTGTTACAGTGTTCTGACTGTTACAGTGTTCTGGCTGTTTACAGTGTTCTGGCTGTTACAGTGTTCTGGCTGTTACAGTGTTCTGGCTGTTACAGTGTTCTGGCTGTTACAGTGTTCTGGCTGTTACAGTGTTCTGGCTGTTACAGTGTTCTGGACTGTTACAGTGTTCTGGCTGTTACAGTGTTCTGGCTGTTACAGTGTTCTGGCTGTTACAGTGTTCTGGCTGTTACAGTGTTCTGGCTGTTACAGTGTTCTCGCTGTTACAGTGTTCTGGCTGTTAGAGTGTTCTGACTGTTACAGTGTTCTCGCTGTTACAGTGTTCTGGCTGTTAGAGTGTTCTGGCTGTTACAGTGTTCTCGCTGTTACAGTGTTCTGGCTGTTAGAGTGTTCTGGCTGTTACAGTGTTCTGGCTGTTACAGTGTTCTGGCTGTTACAGTCAGATGTACTCTAGTAACTTAACACAGCTGTAACGCCATGTAACGCCTTACCTAGCAGCCAAGGTTGTAACTGCAGTGATACAACAACCATGGTTATAACTACAGTGATACAACAACCATGGTTGTAACTACAGTGATACAACAACCATGGTTATAACTACAGTGATACAACAACCATGGTTATAACTACAGTGATACAACAACCATGGTTGTAACTACAGTGATACAACAACCATGGTTGTAACTGCAGTGACACAACAACCATGGTTGTAACTACAGTGTTTACAACACCCATGGTTATAACTACGTGATACAACAACCATGGTTGTAACTACAGTGATACAACAACATGGTTGTAACTACAGTGATACAAAAACCCATGGTTTAACTGCAGTGATACAAAAACCATGGTTTAACTACAGTGATACAACAACCATGGTTGTAACTACAGTGATACAACACCATGGTTGTAACTACAGTGACACAACAACCATGGTTGTAACTACAGTGATACAACAACCATGGTTGTAATATAGTGATACAACAACCTGGTTGTAAACTACAGTGATACAACAACCATGGTTGTAACTACAGTGATACAACAACCATGGTTGTAACTACAGTGACACAACAACCATGGTTGTAACTACAGTGATACAACAACCATGGTTGTAACTACAGTGATGCAACAACCATGGTTATAACTACAGTGACACAACAACCATGGTTGTAACTACAGTGATACAACAACCATGGTTGTAACTACAGTGATACAAAAAACCATGGTTGTAACTACAGTGATACAACAACCATGGTTATAACTACAGTGACACAACAACCATGGTTATAACTACAGTGATACAACAACCATGGTTGTACATTAAGTCATCAATGCCACTCAGGTATAGAGTGCCGATCAGATGAAGGAAGACAGAGCCAGTAGTATCCTGGTCACGTTCAGAACGTCGCTACTGTCGTTCTGGTGAACGACAGGCATCTGTACATCTGCTTTTGTCACTGATGCAACTCAGACCGAAACGTCGGGTCTCGTTTCTCTCTCCTGGGTTTGAAGTTGATCGTCTTGAGCATTTTCAACACTTTTTTCCCCACTAAGACGAAGATACATGTATACATAGGAGGGAGATGTTTATATACGGTGTGTATTAAGCCATGTATTTGTATACATACCCGTGTGTGAGTGTGTGTGTGTGTGTGTGTGTGTGTGTGTGTGTGTGTGTGTGTGTGTGTGTTGTGTGTGTGTGTGTGTGTGTGTGTGGATACATATGAATAATGGGATATATAGACGGATGCGTGGATAGATGGATACATGGATCAATCAAGACGTGGATAGATGGATACATGTATATATGAAGGTATGGATAGATGGATGTATAATAGATTACACATGAATAGATGGATGTATATATGGGTGGATGGATAGAAGGATGCCTGGCTAGGAGATGCATAGATCGAGGAAATGGATAATACTCACCAGTTAGCACAATATTTAGTCTCCTCGCCCATGTTGCTCTATCCCATGACACAGACCTGGAAGATAGAGACACACTGAGTCTTGAGAGAGAGAGACAGAGAGAGAGAGAGACAGAGAGACAGAGAGAGAGAGAGACAGAGAGAGACAGAGAGTTTAAAACCAGCCCCAAGTGAACATTTGCCTATTAAATTATTTCTTAATGAGAGATTAGGGACAATAAATGAATTTTTCGTGTCACAGAATCATTAATTAAAAAAAAACTGGAATTTATCTCCGTTTGCCTCTTCTGAAATCTGTGCTTTTAGTGTAAGTATATCTTTGCTTAATCGGTTTTTTATCAAGTGACTTACTTAATATTATTTTAGTTTAAGATAGTATTTTTTGTGAATTCTTAGAAAATAGTGTTTTTATCTTATTGCTAAAAAAAATTAAGTCTTAACATCTAGACTTCTCAATATGAAATATTTGACCTTATAAGATTAAGTAACAGTCCAAGTGACAGAAAATGTGAATGTTTTCATGGTAGACTCGTGTAGTTTAGAACGCAGGGGGACCGCTGTCGCAACCCCAGGGCACACCACTTAATAATAATAATAATAATAATAATAATAATAATAATAATAATAAATATAATAACAGTAATAATAATAATAATATAATAATAATAATAATAATAATAATAATAATAATAATAATAATAATAATAATAATAATAATAATAATAATAACAATGTATTAGTAATAATAATAATAATAATAATAATAGAAATAATTTTATTTCTAAAAAAAAAAAAAGAGTGCCATCCCCACAAGCCCCTTTGAGGCGGGGTAGATGGCACACCAGAGGCCTAGCTTCTCCCTACGAGCCCCGTGAGGGCGGCGAATGTGGCTAGGCCTGGGGACACTTGGTCCCAAAGATGAGGAGGTACTTGTACCTCCTCCCATGGGAGACTTAAGTCTCGAGACACTCCCCAGATAGGGAGCCAAGGCCGGGTCACCACTACTTGGAAAAGACCCGGGCCGGGAGAATACCGGCGAATAAAAAAAAAAAAAATTCTACATACATGTACATGGTATACGGTAAGCCAGCGGAAGGCCTCGGTCAGATGACTAAAAGCTCCAGCTGCGGGTCATTATCTAAGACCCGCGTCAGGAAACACTTGTCCTGTTTCCTGACGATCCTTACCTAACCTAACCATAGCTGATAACAATTACATACTACTACTATATAGAAAGCCGCTTGTTATGCAGAGCATTTCCCGCAAATTAGGTCAATTTTGTCCCTGGGAAGTAAGCCTCAGGAGTACTTAAATTGACGTTGAAATGACGTTAAGCTCAGTGCGTCAGGCTACAGGTGTGTGGTCCAGGGGTGAGCTGGGTGTGTGGTCCAGGGGTGAGCTGGGTGTGTGGTCCAGGGGTGAGCTGGGTGAGTGGTCCAGGGGTGAGCTGGGTGTGTGTTCCAGGGGTGAGCTGGGTGTGTGGTCCAGGGGTGAGCTGGGTGTGTGGTCCAGGGGTGAGCAGGGTTGTGTGGTCCAGGGGTGAGCTGGGTGTGTGGTCCAGGGGTGAGCTGGGTGTGTGGTCCAGGGGTGAGCTGGGTGTGTGGTCCAGGGGTGAGCTGGGTGTGTGGTCCAGGGGTGAGCTGGGTGTGTGGTCCAGGGGTGAGCTGGGTGTTAATGACCTCAGAGTTTACAACAGAAGGCGAGAGAGAGAGAACTTGTATGTACTCCCTGAGTTGTGCCCGCCAAGTTAAGACATAGTTCCTGGCCCCCGCCTATTAGATCACCTTGATGAGCGAAACGTTGCCACAATAAGTGGTCACAATGATTGTTTCTGTGTCCATTTACCGAACATTGTATTGGTAATTTACCATTATTTTTACGGCTCCTCCTGTTTCTTTTTGATTCTGGTTCTCTAAATTCAGTGTGTACTCACCTAACTGTACTCACCTAACTGTACTCACCTAACTGTACTCACCTAACTGTACTCACCTAACTGTACTCACCTAACTGTAGTTGCAGGGATCGAGACTAAGCTCCTGTGTGGATGTGTGTGTGTGTGTGTGTGTGTGTGTGTGTGTTCACTAAATTGTGTACTACCCTCATTGTAATCACCTACTTGAGGATATTAGGATCGAGTCTCGGTTCCTGGTCCCACCACAGCGTTTCCTGTTCTATACATCCCTGCCATACCTGTTCTTAAAGCTGTGTGCTGAGTTTGTCTCCAGCTCTTCATCAACAGTCAACGTCACCATTAATCTAATACTAAATTAAAAGAATTATTTGCTGTCGTCCAAATACGTCATCTTTATTGTTGGTTTCACCTGCGTCACCTTGTTCGTGGTTCTTTCATTTCCCTCTCTCCCTCTCTGTCTCTCCATCTCCATCTCTCCCTCTCCATCTCTCCCTCTCCATCTCTCCCTCTCCATCTCTCCCTCTCCGTCTCTCTTCGTTTTCTCCTCTTTCAAAGTTGTCAGGAATTACTACACACTTCTGGGACTATTCTTGATGCAAACATTTATAACTTCTCAGAATTCTGAAACCAGGTACAGTACCAGGTACAGTGCTAAGTACAGTGCCAAATATAGTGCCTGGTACAGTGCTAGGTACAGTTTCAAATATAGTGCCAGGTACAGTGCTAGATACAGTGCCAGGTACAGTGCCAGGTACAATGCTAGGTACAGTGCCAGTCACTCTCTGGGGTGCCAGCTTCAGTGCCAAAACATCAGCTGACACTAAGCCATCGAAGATTTCTTCCGCAATTTGCGGAAGAGAGAGAGAAAGAGAGTGAGAGAGAGTGTGAGAAAGAGAGTGAGAGAGAGTGTGAGAAAGAGAGAGCTGATGTAGGCAACAGCTCTTAGCTTGTCAATAAAGCTAGGGATCCTTAACCTTGTCAAACCCTGTGTACAGAGAGAGAGAGAGAGAGAGAGAGAGAGAGAGAGGAGAGAGAGAGAGAGAGAGAGAGAAAGAGATGCTCCCATACATATTGGGTCTTCAAGAAAGGTGTTCTGATGCCTGTAAAAAGGCTCTTGATCCAAGGAATTGAAGACGCCCTCCTCTTTCATAGATCAAATCTGAGTACTTCCTAGGCTGTACTCCGTCTGCAGTCTTTATTACCTTTCTCCAATCTTCATAATTTCGCACTTGCTGGGGTTAAACTCCAGAAGCCATATATCAGACCAGGCTTGCAGCGTGTCCATATCTTCTTGTAGGCTGACCTGATCCTCGTCCACTTATATTCTACTCATTAGCTTCACATCGTCTGCGAACAGGGACGCCTCTGAATCTATTCCTTCTGTCATGTTATTCACATATACTAGAAACAGCACTGGATCTATGACTGACCCTTGTGGAACCCCACTCGACACATGCACCCACTCTGACACCTCATCACGGACCAACACACGGTGTTTCCTTCCTGTCAGGTATTACCTGATCCAGTGTAGTACTTTCCCTGCTGTTCCTGCCTGCATGTGTGTGTGTGTGTGTGTGTGTGTGTGTGTGTGTGTGTGTGTGTGTGTGTGTGTGTGTGTGTGTGTGTGTGTGTGTGTGTGTGTGTGTGTGTGTGTGTGTGTGTGTGTGTGTGTTTCTCTCATTGAGCATTTGCAAAGTCTTCCTGATTCCACCTGGCAGCTGGTTCAAGTATGATCCTATTTATGGACCTCTCTCTCTCTCTCTCTCTCTCTCTCTCTCTCTCTCTCTCTCTCTCTCTCTCTCTCTCTCTCTCTCTCTCTCTCTCTCTCTCTCTCTCTCTCTCTCTCTCTCTTCTCTCTTCTCTCTCTCTGTCTCTCTCTCTCCTCACTCTCTAACTCGGTCTCTTTCTCTCTGTCTTTCCTCATATAAGGGGCACTGACCCGCTGAGGGAGAGGTGAGGGGAAGGAGGAGAGAGAGAGGGGAAGGGGAAAGAGAGAGGGGAAGGGGGAGGGAGAGGTGGGAAGAGACAAATACAGGAATAATATGAAATAATGAGGAGGAGAAGGAAGAGGAGAAGAAGGAAGAGGAAGAAATGAATAAGAATAGACCTTCATCTTCCTTCCCTCCCTTCCACCCTCCCTTCCCTCCTCCCTTCCACCCTCCCTTCCTCCCTCCCTTCCACCCTCCCTTCTACCCTCCCTCCCTCCCTCCCTCCCTCCCTCCCTCCCTCCCTCCCCACCATCCCTCCCTCCCTCCCTCCACCAGTTGTATAAATATATATCCCCCTCCATTTAGTGTGGTGGTAAGTATCCAGGTGTTGGATAATCGTCTTTATAACAGTATTCCGCAGAGAGCAAAGTTCCGTGCCCGGCACACCTGAGAATGCCCTTCTTTCTCTCACCCCGGAAGTAAAATACACTTTAAGTACACAGTTCTGGTGTATACTGTGTATACTGTGTATACTGTATACGGTATCTGTGTTACTGTTTTAAAATTGTGTATATGTGTATACTGTTTTAAAAACTGTTTTTACTTGTATATGTGTATACGTGTTACTGTTTTACTGTTTTTAACTGTTTACTGTGTATTACGTGTATATGTGTATATTGTTAACTGTGTTTTGGTTTACTGTGTAACTTGATATGTGTTTACTGGGGGTTACTGTGTTCTGTGTATACTGTGTTTATGTGTATACGGTTTGTGTAACTGTGTTCTTGTATACTGTGTATACTGTTTAAACGTGTTACTGTGTATACTGTGTATACGTGATACTGTGTAACGTGTGTATTTGTGTATACTGTGTTACTGTGTATACTGTTTCTGTGTATACTGTGTATATGGTATACTGTGTTTACGGGTTTATACTGTGTTTTTCTGTGTATATCTGTGTATACTGTGTTATACTGGTTACTGTGGTACTTTTGTTTATTTTAAATACTGTGTATATGTTATATTTTTTAAATGTGTATACGTGTTTGTGTATACTGTTATACTGTGTATTCTGTTGTTTATTTTTATACTTTTATATTGTATACTGTGTATACTGTGTATATACTTTTAAAACTGGGTATACTGTGTATATGTGTATACGTTTTATATTTTGGGTTTAGGTATACGGGTGAAAACTGTGTTATACTGTGTTCGTG